AAATAGTAGCGCAATAAGGCAAGCAGAGCATCGAGATCTGTAGGTTGTATAAAATTAATTCTTTCTTTACACAAGTTTAATATAAATTAGCCATAAAATGATACGATGCCACTTAGGTCATTCTTTGAACCCGAGGAAATCGGTTGAAACCAATGCATATTTATGTGATATGTTGGCATGATATAAAGAAAGTAAGTCATCCGATTTCTCGAGATCTATTAAGCTCTATAAATTAATTAATTCATTCACCATGTCAGCTAGATCATTATTAGAAATCCGAATACTTCAAACAAACAAGAGGTAATTAGTACGTCTATATAAGTAACCACTAACAAAATACTAAAGATTTAATAATTCCATGTATTATAGCCTTGAAAAAGATTAAAAACAATAGGCGAAACGTCGAATCTAGTTTCTTAAAAAATTAATAAAGTATTTATCCCTTATCGTTGGCTCTGAATTAACATCCGAGGAAAATATTAAGGCAAGAAATGGATGTCATAATATTTTTATTTATTTATTTATTTGTTGTATGCTCCGTTTAACGAAACGCTACTGAGTTTTACACTCCTTCGCCTTGTGCCCTCCGCTGTTTGCCATTTGATGACTGTATTATAACGCTATAACCTATTTCTTATTGACTTCTATAATGTCTTTTGTTCAATACCTCCTTATTTCTAACCTTTTCTATGCATCTTTTAACACTACATCTAAAAAGCTTTTTCGTTTAAGCTCGTTGTTGTGTTATGAACCCTTATTCTTGAGAAGTTTCCGAGCAATTTCCTGATGTAGACCTACATTAGATTACTTATTGGGGAAATGCGGGAATTGGCTCCGGATGGAAAGCAGTGACGGTGCAAGCCCGGAGTCTTCGTACTGATGAATTTGTGATATTTCGGATTCTCATGTTTTTCACTTACAGACAAAATAAGGTCCCTAAAAAGTTTGTTACGGTTGTAGCTCGGGGTGTAATGACAACCAAAGAAGCCCCCCAAACATTTCTGAACGTGTTAAATATTATATCTACATTATATTTCTATCGTCCACGTTTCACACCTACCCACATCCGTGCTTCAAGCGTACAATTTTAGTAAACTTTTTTGAATTTCGAAAGTTATCGATAGCGAGCAGAAAAGTGATTTGCTTGTATAAAATTGTGTATAATAATGTTTTTGAAAAGTGGTTGTCATTAAAATAAAACATTTGATATTACCATGACATATAAATGGTTAAATTTGATTAGATAACTTAGTAGTAAATTAACCGGAACAAAATCGCATCATCAGATATTTGGTATCTGATTTGAAAACCGCCTAATTATGACATTTACGTTTGAGGATTTAATAGCATCATAATTATGCATAAATTACAATAAATTTAGCGATCTAAATGTTGTGCGAATACAGATGATAAAAATTTTTAAAACGCTTACAATAATTACTGAAGCATTATTTCATTGTAAATATAGATAATAAAAACGCTTGGTAAAGTTTTCCTAAATAAGATATTTAGAAGGGGAGCTCCACGCTCCAGGCAAAAATCAGCACACAAAAAACTTATTTAAGTTGGGCGGGGGTGGAAGCGGAAATGCAGAGAAGGAAATGGAGTAGAAAGGAGAAAATGGGTGGACATGCTGGGGATGATCTTATACAATACGGTAAAAGTGTTTTCAGATGAAAATAAAGGATTTGAGGGAGTTTAAAAGCGCGAGGAGTGGATATGAATAATCGAATAATAAAGATGAAACTGACGTAAGTTAACCCAACCCTAATTTAATCTAAGGGATCATTCATAAAGTCGTTCGCAAATAATACTTAGCGTAACGAAATATGAAAACGGGGAGGAAGGTCTAAGGAAATGTGACGTTCGCAGATCATCAATTTTATTTTAATGTTCTTAACTTCGTAATTCTAAAAATTTTCCTTTACGATTGAAAGTCATTCTCAACTGTCAAGTACTTAAAAAAACCTGTAAATAAACATGTGTTTAGGTGTTGTGATGATTTGCAATTTCTTCGTTTAACTTCAAAACTTGTTTTCTCGAAGGAGCATCTCGTAGAAAAAATTCGTGTTAGAATTAACAAATTTTAATAAGAAGAAACGGTTGATTGGGGGTGGGCTAGCTTTTGTAACGTAATATTTGTTTAATATTTGGTTCAAAAGTGACTATGTTATGGATGGTCACTAATGTAGAAAAGAAAATTTGTCTGGAGCTTTTATTTTTAGTTTTAAAAACCCTAAAATTCCACAAAAACTTTAGAAACGTAAAACGTGTTTCAACACCTAAAACGTCATTCTCCATTGGAAATTAAGTAATCTTACATGTAAAGCTAATTACCTATAGGTATCGTTACGATCCCCCACCACACTTGAGTGTCTCCCCTACATTCGAAAACCTACTTTTATCCTAAAAAATAATATCCGGTAGGTAAAAAAAATTTAAGAGACATTTGCTCGATGCTCCAAGGTGTAGAACAGGCATTATAAAATAGAGAGCTTGTTATTTGGCGAACAATTTAACATTAAAAAAATTGGGGCATTCCATTTAAAAAACATGAGATATAGCTGTTTCAAGCTTCTGCTTTTATATACAATATTGCAAACATNCATTGGAAATTAAGTAATCTTACATGTAAAGCTAATTACCTATAGGTATCGTTACGATCCCCCACCACACTTGAGTGTCTCCCCTACATTCGAAAACCTACTTTTATCCTAAAAAATAATATCCGGTAGGTAAAAAAAATTTAAGAGTAATTTTTGTCTGGAATCCCAATTATAATTAAACAAAATGTTGTTTATTAATTTGTTGTGACCAATGGTGAGTGCTTTTCTGATCTTATGTAATTAAATTACAAAACTTTTGAAAATTTCCTAGCACTCATGCGTAAAATCTAAGATTATAAAATAGTTACCTATCATTCGGAATAAATTACATAAGCTCATAATCTTTTAATGCCATTTAAAACGTATGATAGATTATATTTTAAAATCGAAATTTTTTATATTGAAATTGTGAGTACCTCGTGGCTTCGTTCGCGTGTATTTTGTAAATAGAAATAGATAACAAATTGTTTATGTCTAAAAATTTTGCGTCAACTGACCAAGCATTTGATTACGTATATTTGATAGTCAAGTTTTTTTATACCTATTTTAACGATCGTCAATAAAATAAACGCGAATGGGAGGAATACTTATAAGAAGTATTTTATCATAGGTACGTGCGTGCGTACATATGTATCGATAGAAATCGAAATAAAATAAAAATTAAGCAATTTCATATACACCTAGTCATTTCACATAGAGATATCATTTCCTTATTATGTGTTACCTTAGTGGTGCCTAGGTACAATAAAAAAAACAATTTGTTGACCTCATTGTACGGTATGGGTACACTTTTGCAATATTTTCAGAAAAGCACACAGTATACACCCATTTTCCGATATTTTGAGAGCAACCTCAAAAAGTAAAAAAATAACATGCTTATTGATTTCCAAATAACAAAAATTTTTTTTTCGGAAAAATGATAAATAACTCGATCAGTATGATTACATCCGATTTCGTTGAAATTTTTGTATGCTGTACCAACCCCTCTTAGTTACGGGGGTTGGAAAAAAGTAAGTACAGCAACCAAACCCAATCCATAATTTCATATGTATATATACGAAACCACAATTAAGTTCTTTTGCAGGTGCACCAAATAAGGGTCAAGGTCACACAAAATCTTTTGAGAACCAGGGTAGTCCTTACTGAATATGTTAAATTAAATGAAATTAAAACCCTATTGTTGCATGATTTAATACTGTGAGTTAGTTTGGCTGTTTCACTTTCTTTTCCTTTTATAACTAATCCAACTTATATCCAAAATATACATTATACAGTCGCTTCAGTTTAATTTTGTAAAATTGGAGCATCTTTCTCTCTATTTAAACAGTTTGTAGAGTGTGAGAATTACAGTGACGTTCACAAGTTTTGCTCGCATATTTTTATAATTTTAAAAAAATTAATAAAACAAATACAGAAGTTTCTATTAGGGTAGTTTCAGCTAAATGTATGAATATTACCTTCCTTACTTTTGTTGTACCCTGCTTGTTTTGTAATTGTTTACTTTAAATTACTAAATTGAATAACGTACTTCATCAATTACTATTGAAAACATTTATCTTTTTCTTTCGCAGTACCTATTAATGTATCTTATGTTGTCGTATTCCTAATTGCAATTTAATAGCACTTTTCCAGATTTTTCGAGAGAAAATCTACTTGAACGCAAACCCCTTATAATTAGAAATTAATTATGCTTCAACGAATTCTCCGGATGAGTAAAAGGCTCTTATATTCTATATTTTTTATATTTATTCTCATAAGTAACTGTTCACTTTTCTAAAAATCGTATCAGATATGTCAACGTTACTATAATTTATTGAAGCTTCATGAAGCAATTGGTAGTATAACAATAAATGAGAGACACTCTAGAAACTTTTAAATAGAGAGAAATATGCAAATTTTATAAAGTATCATTACCTGCGACTAGCCGAGAAAAACAAGGGTATCTTTCTTTTCCTTGTGGTAGGTATATGGGTTAGTAGATTTATTGTTGCAATAATATATAATAAAGTAAAAGATTTACAATTTTTTACTTTATAATACAAAACCAGCAACCAGCTGAAAGGACTTTATTACCGAAATAATTATAAGTAGGTATCTGGATAGTTACCTAGGTCAGCTTTAGTTTTTAAAACCGTACCTATTTGAAAAAATTAAAATTGTAGATAACGAAAAGGAAAAAGGTACCAGGTAGGTAAGTGCTTTTCTACTTTTAACGATAAATGGGACTTGTGCTTTAATAAGTGAACGTTTTAGTACCGCTAATAAGACCTTGACTATTTCTTTTTTCGAACATTTCAGGTTATTTAATCTTAATAGGTTGTTGTGTTGTTGTTGTACCTACACCTATAACATTCTTCGTCTACTATTGAAAGCAAATAGTAAAGTTCAACATACCTTTAGCCCACCCAGTGACCACATTTCCCAAGTACGAAACTTTGTAAACGGGGTCCGGTCTAGAAATCGTTGCACTTCCGAATTTTTTCAACCTCAGTTTATTGAAAACCGCTTTGATCACTTTCTTCCCACAGTCTTTCGGTCTCTTGCAAGGCATCTCGCTCTGAAGAATTCCGAGTGTCGACGCCTTTTTCTGAACGAGCTCCTTAGGCGGAAAATCGACCACATCCACTGCAGCCATATCCGGCGCACCCTTCATCTGAATATTATGTATTTATATTTTAATAAACACAATAAACTAAACAAACTTTGTCACTTTTTTTATTATTATCCCATGTTACTATTCGCTTTAGGCCCGATCATTTTATGTTAAAGAACGCGACTACACTGTACTGTGAATTAGAATCTAGTAACTGTTCACTCGACTTCTACAACGACAATGATCAACGTAGACTGCCGACTGGTCAGAACAACTGGTATATAAAAGTAGTATGTAATGACTAGACACTAGCGACGATGTTGCTTTCCACTTCTCAGTCAGGTAGGTATTTACTACGATATAATATTATGTATGTATTGTATACACAACATACCATATGTGTATAAATATACATATATACATATACGTGCAACTTCCGTCAATTGTTTGGAGTTCGCTGCCGGTTTTATTAAGGTTTCCTTATCTTGACGGTCACATGATAACTCTTGATAATCACCAACGAGCCCATCGCCAGTCAGCTACTTCCACAGACACGCGATTATGATTTGGTTGTCGTGGATTTCCTCGAAATAACACTCTAGGTACCTCGATTTATAATTCTGAAAACAATAAGAGAAAATGTTATTATATTTTGCAACTAACACTATTAAGCATAGGCACTTTACACATACGAATTGAACAAGTAAATGTTGCGTATGTATGTTTATTGTAAGCTGACAAGAAGATATCAATCGGTGACCACATAAATGCAAATGTTTATTATCTCTCAGGTTTGACAGATACGTAAGTACATACGTCGAACTAATTTTTTGAACTTTTTTACAAATCAAAGGGAGCGAACCAAAATCAATAAAATGTATTAGTATATAGCAAATAAACAAGATAAAATATAAAAAAAGTAATAAAGGAAAGATAATGACACTCAATGATTCGTAATATCTTACTCCTCATTACGTAACAATTTAATGATAGAGAAGTAATTGTTTTTTTAACAATAGGATCAAAATTTATATGAACCTACCTAAATGCTTACTAGAAAACTGAAGCGACAAGGTATTTGTGGTGATTTATATAAATTAAGAGAAAAACGCAAGGAAGAGGGGGTATACTTTCTACGAAAAACTGGCTTCATTTTACGAATAAAAGTAAAATTCTAAATTAATAATAAATACTAATTTAGTTAAAAGAAAAGTTTATCTTCCCTAAAATCAATATTAGTTATAAAAGAGAAAATTATCTACTCTAAAATAAATATGAGTTAAAAGAGAAGATTATCTTTATTAAAATCAATAAGTGCAAATTATCAATTATTGGTGTATAATGTCAATGTCCGCTTTTTTTATAATCTCTTACAATTTCTCTTTTTACCTGACTCCTCCCAACATCATTAAAGACAGTACAACTGTAGGGATAAATATAAAGGGGCTAAAGATTAGTATGCTCAGATTTGCAGATGGTATAGCAGTATTAGCATCTAGTAAGGAGGAATTAGAGATAGCTCTAAATAAAATGGAAGAGGTTTTGACAAAACAGTATTGTATGAAAATAAATAAAAGTAAAACAAAAATACTGGTTTTTCAAGGGAGAAAAAAGTAAGGATATAAAAATAGGAGACCAAAAATTAGAAGAAGTGGCTGATTTTAGATGTCTAGGAAGTCAGATAAGTCAGGATTAAGTCAGAAGGAGTAATAGGGATACCTATAAAGCAGCAAACAGCGCAGGGTCGAGTCGCCTTCAGAAAAAAGAAGTCGCGTCTATGCTTGTGAACGGTTAATTTAAAAATTCGAAAAAGATTGTTAAATGTGTAAGTTTGGGGCGCGGCGCTGTACGGGTGCGAAACATAAACGGTGGACGCGGTGGAAAAGAATAGGTTAGAAGCGTTAGAAATGTGGTGTTACAGGCGACTGATGAGGATACCCTGGATAGAGAAGGTTAAAAAAGATGAGGTATTAGAAAGAATAGGAGAACAGAGGACTCCATGGAAGTCAATAAAAAATAGGTGGGATAAGTTGGTAGAACACCTCGGGCATGAAGGTCTAGTCAGAGGCATATTAGAGACAGAAACAGGAGTTAAGAGGACTAGAGGTGTGGCGGACAATTGCATAATATTTTTTGTAGATATTTCTTAGGCATTCTTTTTCATTATTTTACTTCAAATTCATTTCATTTCAAATATTATTTCAATTATTTTCAATTTCTGATCTTGTACGTACTTTGGTTTCCTTTCAATCTAAACTCTATTGTTCTCTTTTATCACTTTTACCTAGAATTCCAACTTCAACCATACCTGCATGCGCTCTCATACTAATATCTGGTTTTACCCTTAATTGCTATCTTTTGAACTCTATACTGCTTAATTCTACGTATTCCTACAAACTAGTGTCTTCACCATCTCTCTCACTACTTTTCCTTCTAGAACATTCTATCAAATTTAGTAACAACCCTGTTCTATAAATACTCTAAAAAATTCATATCATTACAGTTTCCCGTCTGCCACTTCTACCAACGTTCGTAAGTGCTTATATTATTCTCTACATTGTTGTCTTTGTTATTGTTATTGTTCTTTTTGCCACTTTGTTCTCGTTCGTATGTTTCACTCCTTGTGCCTTTTTGTTACTTGTGTTTTCTGTTGTTATAAATTGTTATTTGTTACTGTTAGTGTTTCCTTGATATTTAAATAATATCCACCAAAAGACACTAAAGAGGTAGACCTAGATTAGATTACTGTTCGAAAATAGTTAAAGATGTGGGATGTTCTTGCTTTAGGGAAATGCGAAGATTAACTCAGGATAGGAAAGAGTGGAGGTGCGTGTCCAAGGAGTCTTAGGACTGACGACCTTATGATGACGAACTCATCCCAAAAGTACGATATTTCCCATGATTTTAGGGACGAAAGCGCAGCATTCCGTCCCGGGTAAAAAAGTCGCATTTACTCATTATGAAACAGTTTTACCATCCTCCCGACGCAAAGGTTAAATACCGTTTTCTACCTGGGAGTTTAAGTTGCACTTTTTTCTCGATCCTGAAATCAGGAAAAACTCGTCCTTTCGAATACGCCACCCCCAACCGAAACTTTGACGTCTTCCCCTTCAGTTCGGATCGCAATTCACACTCTTAGTGCGTAATGATATACTATTTTTCCTCTTTCCATTGGTATATGTATGTATAGGTCAAGGTTTTCCAAATGTGCCTATATTTGATGAAATACCAGTGCTTCGCTGATTCGTATTATGAATAGATGACAGTTTAAAAAATATCATGATTGAAGCCAGGTGAATGCGATGGACTGTGTGAAATCAAGACCACCTTAATTCAGATAACCTACCGAAAATTTTGGGCGATCCGTGGACAACAAAACATTTCTTTTACGTACTGAAGTTGGATTAAGATGGTTCACAGTTTTATGCTATAATTTAAGGTACAGTACTGTTTATCTTGGTCTGTATTAATTTGGAAAAGCATTTGTGATTTTTTTCACGAGTTAGGCATCTAATTTCCTACTACGTGTTTGCAGTTCCGTTGCTATATTTAACACTCCAGTGTATTGAGCTCCCACATCCAACGCAAATAAATGAACCTGTAAATTTGGCCGCTCTGCTGGTAATTTAAAAATAAAATTTTTCCTTTAGGGTTTTCTTCTTTAAGCTCTTCATAATAACCTTCATCGATTAATTAAGGCCAACTTTGTGAAGCCATTCATAGATCCAAAATGAGCAATTGAATAATTGTTTATTTCGTTAGCAACAGGAACGAGCCTATGATACTTTAGTACATACAGGGTGGCCCAAAAAGTTCGCAATATGCTCATTGCGGCTAAACTGAAAGATTAATCAAAAATTTTTTTAAAGCATTTGAATATTGCCGCGATTGTTTTCATAGCGATATTTTGGCATTCTGAACAACTTTTTCCTATAACTTTTATCGATTGTAGTGATATTTCACATGACAGCCATTTAAATGAAACCTTATTTTTTCTATTTTTGAACAGTCTGTACAATATATCAAATTTGGATAATACAGATGATTTTGTATTAAAACAGCAAACGCGTTTTGTTTGAAAATTTTTTCCATTAAACTTAAAGTTTGGCCCCAACGAGCAAATTGCGTACTTTTTAGGCCACCCTGTATATTCAAATTTTAGTAACTTCAGTGCACAACAATCTAATGACACTATTGCAGGTTTTCGTTCTTATTCTTGTATAAATGTACACTAATATACTATGTACATCATTTTTATGAGTACGCAACACATCCATATAAATAACTAATACCTTCTTAAAATTCAGAAAAAAGACAAGAGAATTAGCTCTCGGTGTTTATATTATATAAAAGTTACCTCTAAATTTTTTATTGCATTAAAAAAAAATTCGTATTGGCGCACTTTCGAGAACGGGAAATGTCACAGTTTCAAAAATATTTTCCTTTACGATAAAAAATCCCTTTCCCTTTTAATATCATAACTAACATTTAGCTATAATTTTGTACTTCAAAGAAAATATAAATGTATCACTCATACTTATGGTTACATAATCGGTCTCAAATTGTAAATTCAATTGTTTAAGTAATTGTACACTTTTAACTCTTTCAACACATGGTTTCTAATTTCTAATAATAAATAACTTAGTTAAATATTTGACGAGTTTTATTACCAGTTACTTATGTATTTTGTATCTGTACACTGGAAAAGCTCTTTATCATTTTTTACAATCCAAATTATCACGTGGTGACACTAAATGTATCATCATATTTCTTATAGAAAAATCTCAGAATGTGAACAACAAATACACCATCTCAAACAATGAAAATTTAATGAGCAATAACTACAAAATTTTTTAAGAAAAGTAATTGTGTAAACTGTTTAGTTAAGTTTCTATGGAATAATTAAATATTGAACATAGTATTGTTTACTGTAGGGATTTTCTTTAAGAGTTCCGTGTTGGTAACTATNACTTTTTCAAAACACATCAGCATACAAAATACTTTTCACAAATATTGATTATTACAAACTCGTGTCTGTTTATTGTGACATTAGATAAAATCATATTTTTTTTCTATAAATTCACAGAATCTTGTAAAATCGTTATAAAAATATAAACAAAAACAGTAAATGAAATTTATTTTATTACTTTGAATGCTCAAAATATTATTGTGTATTAACATTTTTATAATGTTCTTGCGTATATAATAATCATGATATTTATATTATTGACAAGTATTGATTTGGTAAACAAACGAAAAGAAAACAAACAATGAATCTAATCTTATTAAAATGTGCATCAATTACAATATATTACAAGTAGATTAGGGAATCTTTACGTAACAGTATACATAATATATGCATTTATTTTAATAAAAGAAATGGCAGACGATTTTGGTATCCTGAACCTGACGTTTGCAAACACAGAATAACCAGATACACCCCTTGACCCCTACATTGTTTTGTCGAAATTTCAAATCGCCCCAAACCCTTCACTACATACTTAGATACAGAGATTATATTTTAAATTCATTTGATTGCCAGTCGATAGAATTCGATTAAGATTGACCAGAACAATTGAGAAACGGACCCTTTAATAGATATCGAACATCATCAATAATA